GGTGGGGAGTTTCGTACGAAGGTGTCACTCAGCTTCATTTCTGCCAACAAGGCGTCAAGGTGAAAGCCAAAAATTATCAAAGTGACATTCTAGAGACTGTTGTGAAACCCCTGTCTAATACCCTATTCCATAACAAGTATTGGGTTTTCCAGCAAGACTCGGCGCCATCCCATAAGGCTAAAACCACCCAAGCTTGGCTGAAGGAAAATGTGCCGGCCTTCATTGCGGCGAACGAATGGCCCTCCTCCAGCCCCGACCTCAACCCGCTGGATTATTCTCTATGGACCGAATTAGAGCTCAGAGCCTGCCGAAAGTCCCACCCAAACTTGGAGTCACTTAAGCGAGCTCTTGTCCGAGAAGCGAAGCGAATTCCTCTGGAAAAGATTCGTGCCGCCATTGATGACTGGCCAAATCGTCTAAGGGCATGTATTAAAAACAGGGATGGTCATTTTGAATAATAATTATATTTAATTTTTACTTACTATCTACTTAATGTTTGTTATTGTTTTTATAGATATAAGTTTATTATTTAAAAAGATATGCAACTTTTAATTTGTCTCAAAACTTATGAACACACGAGGTACAACTTGGTAGGTACAATATTATTTATACGTAACTTGGTACTCAATTTGTAGTCTTACGTGAAATACATAGCAATACGTAGATAAAATATAAACACACATTACCTACCTCACCCGCCACCGCAATAAACCATAATACCCACAAGCTGTCAACAGTCTCAAATACAGAACAGAGACAAAGAGAAAAAGAAAGAAATGTTAGTAATGAAAGATACCCCGTTCCGAACTAGGAAGACATTGCAGCATAGTTCATCCCCGAGTGAAGTAGTTCAGCGAGTACTCCGGGTCTGTACAGCTGATACAACCCGCTGACACTGGGGTACCTCCTAATGTATAGTACAGGTAACACACGCGCCCATTACGATCTCTTTATTAATTAATGGAGTAAAAACACCTTAAATCGAGGATTTTCAGGTTCACCGGTATGAAACTCGAAATCTCAAGCAATTTCGGTAGATGATGAATAAGCTGTTAGGTGCCCGCCGCACTGCGTACTGACTCCACGGCATCTCGACTGCGGGGACTCGGAGCCAACGCATTTGGACACATCAATACTTATAAACCTAAGTAGGCGAATACTAAATATACAGATATACTTATTTGAGGGATGTTTCCACTTCCTACTCAATGCCTAGTATGAAGATTCATTAGAAACTAGATGTAATTTTAATAGTTCGGTGAGCGAGAAGTCATCGGCCTGCCTGTAGTCACAACGTAGCGCGGTGCCCACTACCATTGCAGGCTTCTTCATATTAATGTGGCGGTTTTGTGAAATAGTAATGGAACCCTCTGAGGGTTGTGATTCCTTAAGAAACCGTGGAGGGTGTGGAGCGCGGTACGAGTGAGACGCCGGCGCTGATTAGTCCGTCCCGGCGCCGGCCGGGACAATGCTGCGCGGCCTATTGTTTGTTATTCCAGTTTTTTCGTGTTGGCGCGGCTTTCAGTAAAGTAGGCCGTGTCTCTTGCAGCCGACCTACTTACTAACCGACGCTGCAACTGAACCAACTGACAATTACTTACCGTAGGCATTATCTAAGTTCTGTGTTTAACGAAAAAACTTCACATATTATACCTGTTCATTCATTACCCTAGACGCGACACACACGCGCATTTATCACAATACAGAGGCATCACTAAATAACAGAATATTCTTATTTTGTAAAGTTAAGTTTTGTAGTTTCCGGAGTGGCCGCTGCGTGTCGTAACATTAGCCGGAACATGGCATTCTTAGTGAAGACGTAATGTTAGCTCGAGTTACAGTCACCAGGGGGCGTTAGTGGGGACGTGCAGTGTTAGTCGTACGTTAGCTACTGTCTACCAAGCACAGGCCGAGCCGCGTCGCAACGCATGTTGCGGAACACGTTACAGCTCCGTTCATATAAACACGGGACATTGCGACAGTGCGGCAAAGATACTTCTAGGAGAAATATATTACATATTATACGTGCGTTGATGTCCCCAATAAGCAGCTTCAAGGAAGATATTGAGGTTGTTGTCATATGAACGGAGCTCATGAGTCGTTTCGTATTAAATCTATGACGATTCGATAGACGTTCGATAGTGCATGTTTTCGAAGACTGTCGTTCGACGCATGCGTTATAACTGTAGATAACTGCTAATTACGGTTTAGAAAATGTAAAAATATTAGTATTATAGTTTAATACGAAACCACCCAAATACAAAAGTCGAGTGAATACATCGAACACACTAGTGAATGAAACGAGCTGTTAGTATCCCAATCATTTATTTCCCACAACCAATCAGTAAGTACAGCACTGACACCGAAGCAGATGTTATGTCGACTACATACGATGGAGTAGCAAGATGGGCCTCGCTCGGGGCCGGGCGGGGCCCACTGCGGGCCTCGCTCGAGGCCCAGCGGGGCCCACTGCGGGCTGCGACACTCACCGCTGTGCACGCTGTCGCCCGAGCTGCGCCGCTCCGGGGGCGAGGGCGCGGCGGGCGCGGGGGGCGCAGGGTCCGCGGGGGGCGCGGGGTCCGCGGGGGGCACGGGGTCCGCGGGCGCGGGCGGCGCGCGCAGGTCGTGCCACAGGTCGCGCAGGCGCAGCGCGGGCTCGCGCACGTCGGGCGCCACGCTCTGGCGCGCGGCGGCGCACTGGCGCTCCAGGTTGGTGTAGTTCTCCAGCACCTCGCGCACGTCGT